GGAGCCCCCGGCGCCGTGTCCGCGGGTGTCAGCCAGCAGGTGGGGCCCTCTTTCAGCGCACAGCTGAGGTTTTGTCTCTTTGCACCGGTGGAAAAAAATCTGGCGCGGGCCTGGAGGGTTTTCCGTAATTCCAGTGGCCGTTCACTCCTGTTAAACCAGCAGAGCCTGGTGCGGGAGCGCAAATTCTGCTCTGTCAAACTTTAATCCACTGTGTAGTAAATAGAGGAACAAACTTGATGATGTGACCTAGGTGTGGGCATGAAGCCAGGGAAAGCTTTGTACCCCAGTGCAGCTCTCAAAAGACAGCGGCAAGCCATACAGAAACACCGTGAGTTAAAATGGAGTGTGAAATTCCTGACTAGAGCGAGCCAGGGAACCAGCTTAGTGATGGGGAGCAGACGAGACCCTTCCTTAACTTCTACCTGCAAGTGAGCCGTTTGGCTGGGGGGCACTGGAATCTGTGAAATCCGTGGGTGAGACCCTGCCCCTTGCACGCTGCCGCGGGGCTGGTGTGCTCTGAGGCTGCTTTAAAAACCGAGCTCTGATTCTTTCAGTTCTTAGGAAGCTGCTGCTTTGCTTGGACCACGTGTTGCACGTACTCATTGGAACGTCTGCACTGGCAGCTGCCTCTGTTTAAAACGAGAGGCAGCCCTCTCCAGCCAGAGCAGACAAAGCAGTGCAAACATAGAAACAGGAAAAAAATATGCTTGCTGGGTTGGCATAGCTGCAGAATGCAAACAGAGCTGTCACACAGGGATAGTCAGAGTACAGCAGTATAAACAATGATGCATTCATGATTTCTAGTGTGCAAAACCCCTTTCATTTTAGGATGGAGAGATTTAACTTCATTAAAATGAGAAACTTGCAATTTTCAAATCTTCAGCTGAGTCACAGCTCTCAGCCTGAGGTTTGATGGTGAGGGGCTGAACACTTTTGCTGGGGCTCCTGGCTTAAAGCGTTGAGGCTGCTTAAGATTTATCAGGGGCTTTGTCCAGGCCTGCAAAGCACTGAAGAAATCTAAAGTGAGAGTCTGTTTTCTTTTTTTTTTTCCTTTCTTTTTCTATTTAGTGAAACTAGAGGCTTTGCAGAAAGACGTTTCCTGAAGTCACCATCTTAGAGAAAACTAGTATTTCCTTGGATTGTTGCCTGCAGTACATCGTTTTGAGCATGAGGACTATTCTGTTTGCCTGGTAATTGTGAGGGAATTCCTGCTTTGGGGAGAGGGAATGGAAACAAAAGTGCTCTGAACACACTCAAGAGTATTCTCAGTGAACAAACAAATAACAATGGTAGTTCTTTGGGAGGATGCTGTTATGAAGCATGGAGAATATTGGTTAGCTACAGCGTGGCACTTCTAACGTGCTAAATTTTTACTAAGATCGTACCTGCTTGGCTTTATTTTGAGAATCTGAATCCTATGTTATCTGTGATTCTGTTAATTTAAAGAAGTGGTTTACTGACAGAAAACAGCAGACTTCAGCCTCAGAATTTTACACAGACAAATTTTTTTATTAAGACTGAACTCTGCAATGAGGGAGGCTTCTGTATGATCCCAGTGCTCTTAGGATGCCCTGTAAGTTTCCGGCTGTGTGTGCTGTAGCGCCAGCCCAGCTAAGCGACACGCACTGCGTCGAGGCATTGCGTTTCTGTTACCGCAGTGCACGTGCCACACCGTGGCTCAGCACGCATCCTTCGCTTTTTGTGCCTCTGCTGAACTCCCCAGCACTGGTCCCTTCTCCCTGACACCTTGCCTTCCTGTTGTAACCTGCGCTCCATGGGCCAAGCTCAGGCGTGGCGGAGGGCTCAGCGCCTCTTTCAGTGATGGCTTCAGTAGGCCGCGACGTTGCTTTCCATCTACTCAGTGTCTTACAGAACAGTACGTAACGTTTATGCAGCCTCTGCCATTCTGTGAGTTCTTGGCAGAAAGGTAAATATTATTGTTCACACCTTACAAGAGAGAAAATAAGTAATCTCTTAATGTTGCTTTCAGAAATGGAAGCAAAATTGGGTTTAAGTATACGCAGTGACTAAGAAAATGGCCCTGTCACTTCTAGGTATGTGCTTCAGTAGAAATAATGTGTTGCTCAAGGCCTCATGTAAGGTATGTGTCAGCAGTAGCTCCTCATTTGGTGTTCTACAGGCTCAAAGGGCTTTCCCTGCATCCAAATCTCACATTCCCTGCAGTATAAAAATTACCCTAAACACAGTATTTTTTTTAAAGTGTATTTTTATTACACAGGTTTATTTTGGCTGTTCTCAAAGCTGGGCAGAATAAGCTAAAAAAAGATGCATGGATGTGTCATCGTGGCTGGAGAAGAAAACCCAGCATAAGGACAAAGAGGTAAGTGTTAAGAAGTAGAGATGTATATATGGCCAGGGAAAAGCAGTTCGTTCAGGAAACCAGATAGCAGCAGGTTTTGTGTTCCCCAAGGAAAGAGATGACCAGATGATCTTGAAGGTCCCTTCCAACCCTTACCATTCTATGATTCTGTGAGGTGAGAGGTGGAAAGAAGGTATTTAATAAGGGCTTCCAGTTTCCGGACCCGTGCATAATCCGTTTCTGGTTTGCTATTTTCACACCGAACGAGCGTGTCCGCCCGCTGCCGCCCCGCGCTGCCTGGGGCCGGCTGGGAAGCCAGCCCTCTGCCCC